TTTTTTTTTTTTTTTTAGTGATTATAGTAAAGCAGTAAACAATTTTTATTTAATTAGATAATGCACCAAAGAATATAAACTAATAACATGCAAAAAGTAGACAAATTTACTTACCTCTCAAAATTTTCCTGGCTTTCTAACAATGCGACAAGAGCCATTACAAATTCCTCCAAGCTAGTCGTTAACTTTCCCACGGTAATGAATCTTGTACTGTGAGTGAAATTAACAATATTCTGTTCAGAATACAATGTTATACAATATGCCACTTGATAGATGAAAACTTTGACTTTCTATTGGTTATAGGTAATATATAATGAAATGTAAAAGAGAACTATCAACCAATTGTCAAAGAGAGGATGTGACATGTGGGTGTGGCAGGAGGGGTCTGATTTTCTCTTTGATAGCTCTGTAACAAAACAAAATTGAAGGCCATAAAAATTATGGTCTGTTTCAGCAATAAAGATTTTATAGAGAGCATTTTACGTTTAATTTCATACATTTTCAAGGAGTGATGGATAAAATAGGGATGATGATGACATGCTAAGACAAAATTTGTCAGTGTGTTGCACTTGTGGAAATTCAGGATTTTTTTATATATTTCCTTATAGAATTAAGATCTTAAAACTTGTACACTATTGAAATATGGATTATTAGCTAATATTTTATGCTATTCTAATTGGTATAACATAAACAAAAAGTAGTTTAATAAAATTTTGAATGTAAGACACTAAAACCTTGCGTCATGCGCAGTAAAGGGTACCCGGGCCGAAAGGGTTAAGATAGTGGTGGTTAATGCTATTAGTGTTGTAAGTTTTAGCCTTACAGTGTTCTGATTTTTTTTTCTGCAGAGTCTTCTAATGGTTTATCCAGGAAGAATTCCATCTTTGAATACTGGAATATCTTGCCTTTAAGCCATTCACTATGGCTGGGACATATATCTCCCAGTATACTGGGATATATAAGTCCCAGCCACAGTGAAAAGGTTAAGCTAAGAAAATCAGCTTTTAACCAGCAGATGATCATACTGCCATTACATCTTCAGTTGTGAAAATGTAAAGAACAAAACATGAACTTTGATCATTGAATAAGAGGTGAAATAAGTAGTTAGTAAATTATTTTAAATTATTTAAACATAACCAAAATGATAAAGTTAAGCCTCTCCACACGTGTCACAGGCCATGTCATCATGTTTGTTGATTCGCATTCAAAATTTTATTGAACTACTATTTTGTGAATTAATGTCAGTAAGTTTGGTATCAACTTGTAGATTATTATTCAAATTTTAGTATTAAACATTATTTAATTTCTTAATTTAAAAGTAAATATAAAAAAAACAACACCTAAACATCAATTTTTGTATCATGTGGTATGTTGAATGCAGTACTTGTTCAAATTAGTTGTTTGTGATGCCCAAATACAAAGTCTATAGTTTCTTACAAATTAGGAACTCAAATTACCAATATTAACAAGCTAGAATATAAAATAAGAACCTCCTTTCCTTTCTATTTGTTGAGATATCGCTCATGTACTAAATCAAACACAGTGGCCCTGCCCACCTCTCTCCATTTTTGGAAACACTTCCTCATATACAGTTACTTCTATCTATGACATGTGAATAACCAATCGAAAGCTCAAAATGTCCCCATAATGGCTTTATCAGTCATTTTCAAGTATTATGACATCAACTTGTTCTTTCAATACAATACTTTAAGGTGGTAAGTTGAGTCCTTAGTCTGCTCAAAATTTCATATTTTTAGACCCAAATACAACTTAGTTACTAAACTTGATAAATTGTAATGGAATTCTATGGTATCGATATAGTAACTTATAATTTTTAGGTTATTCAAATATATGCGTAAAACCTTAAAAAAATTTTTTAACAACCTACTGCAAGCAGCAAACGAGTACAAAGGTCGTGTGCTATACTTATTTATTTACTGTTCTCTGTTTTAAGAAAAATAATTCAAGAACTTATTTGTAAATAGTAATAATCTGTATACATATATAATGTATTATAACTGAAATGTGACTATATTTTACAAAATACTAGTTCACTAAAACACAGCCAAGACAGGTCACGTTGTAAAGGTCAGTTTAATATTATTGGATACGGTAAAATGAGTGCACATGTGCCGCACCATTGTAACTTCTGTGATGTTAGCGAGGCACAGCTGAAAGGTCAATATATTATAAATAATAAATATGTATAATGTTATGACATTTAAGCCATTTATACTAAACATTTGTGTTTTCGAGTTATAATTTCTAGTCATTCTAGAATGAAAAAAGCATAATTTATATTTATTTCCTAATTTTTTATGGTGTTTATGAGATTGGTCAAGTCTATCAAACCCGTACAGAGATTTGATAGTGAAAATAACAGATAAAATATAAATATAAAGCTTTTTTCTTTAAAGATTGATAATTATCTGGAGGTTATAGATATTTCACATGTGAAAATGAAAATTACTTTGAATGTTGGATAGGCAACATGCAAAAAGAGAAAAGCATGAGAAAAACATTACTTAAAAAAACCTGAGACTTAATAAAAAAAATACTGTTTATTTTTACAAAAGCTTTGTAATGTTTACTGATAATCTGCCAAATTTTGTGAACATATGCTTGCTAATTTAAAAGTTATAGCATGAAAACTACAACAAGCACAAAATGGTTACGATGTCGGGGACCGAACCTGTGCTGAAAGAGTTAATAGAAGTTTGGTATCTTTCAAAATTATAATTTATAATTAATCTCCGAACATGTTAATGTTCATATTTGTCTTACTTTGGGTGTTTGAAGTACTTTATTGTAAAATTTTTTTACTAGAATATTGCAGTGTTTGTGTATTTGTTATGATAATTTAATTCAGCATAAACATAACTAGATGATTATGTTGATAAAAGCAAACTTGTAGCTTACCAACCAAATTACCAAACTGATATGGTTTGGCATTAGCAGAAATAACATTAAACAATTTTAGATAACTTAACAGTTAAATTTCTTTGTGTATTCTTATAAATATTTATGTCACTTGTATATCTCTCATATAACTTCTTTTTGGAGCTGCCCCTTGGTGGCTCAGAAACAAGTGTGAGGGTTTATAATGTTAAAATTGAGTTTTGATATCTATGGTGACCAGAGCACAGATAACACACTGTGTAGCTTTGTGCTTAACAACAAACAAGTTTTGGTGCTAAATATTAACCTTTCTCACCCAGTGGGTAAATCTCAACCACTAATACATAACCATTATCCAATACATTTGACAGTTTTTATTTTTTTATGGACACAGACACTATGCATTAAAATAAATAACTATTAATGAATTGTTTCATTTTACTTATATAAAGTTCTGTTCTTCAGTGTAATATTTGTTTTAAGAAATAAAAGCAACATTCAAAGACAAAACTTACACCAAACTGATTGGGTCAAGGAATTATAAGATAGAGATCTCATTATATTGTTTATTTCTACATGTTGTTTCCATGAAGACTCTAATTTCAGGAAGTGCAGTGGCTATTACCATTCAGCACACATAAGTAAATTAGGACTAAAAAGTTTCCAGTGATAACAAGAAGTACCTACTGTTTATAAGAACAGACATATATCTATCTTCAATTAGGGACATCTTGAATAAAGGTTTTTTTTGGCTCACAAAAGGAAATAACACTGCATAATCTTTTAGGGAAGGTTAGAATTTTTGTCCTAGTCCTTTGAAAATAACCCGCTGTTGGAATTCATGTGGGCCAGGTGTCACTGTTAACATGTAAGCAAATCTATTTATCTCCTGGAAAGGCAGTTTCATCTAATGTTTCAGTTTTACTCACGTTAGTGATTTTGTATATCCTAATGTTTCTAGTGTTGATATAAAAACAACATTGGCATTGCTGGAGTAGTCTTGTGGAAAGAATTTAGTGAAGTAATACAAAAGTATAGTTTGACATTATTCATCTACCGTTAATGTTTATTTAACCAGACATCAGCACAATTGTTGAAAACTTATAGCACAGACTCAATAGTGACTATTAAGGGCACACAGGTTCACCTTGATTTCCAAGACTGATCTTCAAATCTCCTTGTTCATCACCAGTCCATCAGAAAGTATGAGATTGCTCAGACAAAGCCAGAGCTAAGGAAAAGGCACTGTTTGATAAAAATGTTTTATTTTTTGTATATGTGCAAAAAGACACTGAATTGGAATTATTAAAAAACTTGAAGACTTTTGTTTTAAATTCATGCATTGGGGAGATATACCATGACAGACCACTTGCCAGAAAAGGATAACAATTAAGAATATGATATGCAGTATTCAGTTCCAAGTACTATTTTATTTGTGGAACAAATTTAACCACTTCTGCCAGTTTTTATCTTGGTCAAAGTTTACAATCAGTGTACTTGTTTTAATTCTGTGGTTTTATTCATTTCAATAAATTAAAGTTATAGATACAAAAGAATTACTTTTATCATAAAGACTAATTATTATATCTTTTTGCAGTAATAAAATGATTTTATTTCAGTCATAGGCTGCAATGAAAGTACATTCATTAGCTTGCTTTTTACATAATTATTTTGGTATAAGAACATAAAAAAAATATCACATACAGATGAAATGTTTGTCTGAAATGATATTAAATTAAAATTACCATTACAATTGTGAGCAGAAAATCTAACATAGATGTTTTTTGTATTTTTTGTTTTTTACTTGAAATAATATTTTTATGAAAAAGAATATGATCTATACAATTTAATAATATTTTAGTATTTTATGATAAGTTAGTTATGTTGAAAACTTCAAAAACTTGTGTTGTAAATGCAGACTGAAAGAGTTGAACTTTCTGAAAAATTAAAGTTACTTGTATAAAAACATCCCACATGATCATGTGAAGAGTTTCCAATCTAGTACAAATTTTAAGAACAATTTTCTGTGAACTGCTTACTAATTTTATCTAAATAACTATTTATTTTAGTAAATACTAGCCAACCTTACCTGACCATGCCTGGGTATTACCTGAACAGAGGCCCGATGTTTAGCAATTTTTAAACAGAAAGGATCAAAATTTCACTTTTCATGTCACAACACATGTCAAGTGATCCTGTTTTCTGTGAGATAAATGGCTTAAGAACATAAAAGTAAGGAAATGCAATTATAGGTTTATTGTATAATTTACCCACCCATAACAGTCATTGCAATGCCTGTGGATAAACAACATTTTTGGTTTCTTGTGGAGTTTCACTCTGGCGCTTTTGTTGCATACATTTTGCTGTTTGTGATTGACAATCAGAATTGTTTTTCTTTTTCTCGACATTTTACTCTGAGGTACATAATTAGCATATAAAAAATATTTATCATACCTAACCTCCTCTCAAAATAAAGTGAATAAAAACAAATATATTTTTGCAGAATCTTGCGTGTTCAACTTCTCTATTCTATAAAAAAGTTAGTCTTGTTTGTCAGTAGACACGACAGTGTTTGATGGATTTTTATTCTGGCACCATAATAGCAGCACACCTTTGTATAAAATACACAAAGTTTTGTTATGTCATTTCCACTTAAATCAGACTAAAAATCTGGTCTGTCTTCTGTGGAAAAAATTAGATTACAAAGTTTTCATAGCTACTAAAAATGTAAAAATGTGACATCACAGACATTAAACCTGAGTATGCTGATTCCATACCTTTATAGGCATACTATTATAGGGGCTGAAAGGTGTGAACAAACAGACACAAACGTAGCTTTTTATATTACATTGTCTATTTGTGTGTCATTAACTTAAACTTTTATTTCATTATATAATTTGTGAATTTGAGATATTTCTAAAATACTAGGTTTAAACTTGTAAAACAAACTCATTCCAAAATTTACAGAAAACAAATGTTTTCTGCCTTTCTAACATTTTTGAGATTAACACTGTTTTTATTGAAGTACTTAATACTTTTTGTTTGATGAACAGTTTGATAATTTGTTTAAACTTCCACAGCTTAATAGAAATATAATTTCTTTTAACAAAGAAAAAATTTGTAAGTAATAATAGTAAGAATAATGCAGAGAATAAATATATATTTAGTGTTTGTATTTGTTTTGTAGGTCTTCCTATGGTGCCTGAAGGTGTATTACTTAGAGAAATACTCTTTGCCTTTCAAGGTATTGAAGGAAAATTCATAAAAATGCAACCAGCAAAAGACAGGTTTCACATTGATAGTAAGGTATGATGTATTAGTACTAATAAGTTAATAAGATGAGATATAATAATAAGATAAAAAAACAAAGGCCTCCTAGCAAACATGTAAAAGTAAAATATGTTGTATTAATAATGTAAGATATTTTGATAATGAAGAACTAAATTTAAATATTACAGTAGGGTAAGAAACTTACAATAAAATATATTAATGACGAGGTAAGCAGTAGTAGCAATTAGAGAATTAGTATATATTTCTGTGAAGAAAGGCAATGAAATTAAAGTAAGATTGTTAATTCGTTCTTACTCTGAACTATTACGACAATGGATAGGAAGAACAGTTGGCTGAATGTGTAATTAATGCAGCCAGTGTATCAGCCATGAATATTGAAAGTGATGAAGATTTGATTGAGTTTGCTCCTTTTTTAGATAAACTTGTTCTCTAAAATCTTTCATGTATATTGCAACTGGCTTGTTAGTGTCCCGTTGAGTGTGTTTATTAGCAGTTACATACTCTAATTCAGTATTTGCAAGATACCTCACCCCCACTTACAGAATAGCCATAGTCCTTTTGTGTCTGCCCAAGGGACTTGCATGCCACTAGCCTTGAGTTAACTCGCACCTAAATTCACGTGTTTATCATGAGCTGCACTGGTGCATGTTGGCATCATCATGTGACAATAGCCCTCCACCAATAGGAGGGCAACACAACTTCCATGCACAGTAACTCTCCCTAAGCACTTAGGAGATAACTTGGAGTTACATTAATTTTTCTTGTATACTCTCAATTTACTGAGATTTACGATCGTAAACGAAACTTTAGTTTTCGTTCTACAATGGCTTTTTTTTCAAAAGTATTGAATTATTCATGAATGCTGAAGTAATAGTAACTTCTACTTTGTCCTGTGAAAATGATGAAGTTACAAACACAGTACCTGTTTATACTATGACTTTTGGAGTTTCATTAATTGTTGAAGACATTACAGCCATTTTACAGTGTTGTGGGAACCCTCATGTATACCGGGCTATCTCATCCCATCCTTTTGACTGTCATCTATTCCTCACAGTTTGAGAATGACCAGGAGGAAGATGAATTTGATCAACTATTCCCTTCACCTGGTTTTTGCTTACTATTCCTTGCACCATGAAACTAATACTTGGGATCATTTAGTATTTCCTCCCTTGTCTGATATTAGGTTTCATGCTGGTTCTTTTCTTGAACAACTTTGCACTCTTACCCATGTACCTTGTTCCCCTCATTCTTTTATTCTGGCTTACAGTGATTCTTTCTTTCCTCTTATAGATTCCCAGTCTTTAGAATCTCTTTTTGCCTATATGTGGAGCAGACTTCTAGTCTTCTATTTCACTGTGTAGTGCCCAATTTTCACAACTTCCTCTTTTCCTCACTACCATCCTATGATATCTGAGACACCTCATTTTATTCCAGAGGAGTTTTCTGGGGAGTTTTGTTCCATTTTCTGTAACACACTGGCCCATTCCACTTCTTCTACTCTGTCCCTGCTCATTTGGCACCTCTGCTGTTGGGACTTGTTGAGTCAGAATGCATTTTTTACTAATGTATGCCTACCTACTTCTTATCTGTGTGATCTTCATTGGGCTCCCTTTCTTCTTCTTTTCATCCTGCATGAGAGGTTCTTTTGCTGTTGGGAGCTGGCTTACCTGGAATCACTTATTCCTTTGGGATGTGCACACATTATGCATCACCTCCAGTGGACCTTGCAAGACCAGTGGAATAGTTCTTGGGTCCTGTTGTCCTTGATTGTGAACCTCTTCTCTTCTCGAGGCCTTGCCATGGTGGTTAGACTGTTCCCAGACCAGATCTCCATCTCTTCACTGATGTTTCCCTCTGAATAACAATACCTTCTGGCATTTAGAAACAGTACAAGGGCTCACTCCACATCAACGTGCTCAAACTTCTTACTGTTCGTTGGGTATATTCCGATTTCCTACCTCTTCTGGTAGACCATTTGGTCATTGTCCACTCTGACAATTCCACAGTTGTTTCTTACATCAACCATCAAGGGGACATTCATTCCAAGATTTTTTGCTTTTGGATGTTGAACCTCCTCTTCTGGGCTCATTCCTGTTGAGCTCATCTTGTTCCTTGTCATGTTCCAGGAGTTGTGAACCTTGTGGTGGACTGCTTCTCTTCGCCAGACCAAATTCTGCCCAATGAGTGGTCCCTTCACCCCCTTTAGGTCTGTTCTCAGTTAGGCACACCCCTTCATAGATGCCTTTGTCACTCTTCTCAATTCCAAGCTTCTCCTCTTCTGGTCCTCAGTTCCTCATCCTCTGGCTGTCAGTGCTCTCAGCCAGGACTGGTTTTACCTTTTCCTATATGCCTATCCTTCTCTGTGACTCTTTCCTTGGGTCCTCTCCTGGATACACAACACTCCCTGTTGAATCCTACTGGTAGTACCTCTTTGGCCAGTTCAGCCTTGGTTTCCTCTGCTTCTCCATTTAATGTACAGACCCCCCATTCCTCTAACCAATGGCCCCTCCCTGTTTCTTCAACTTCACTTCTCCCTTCATCCAGGGGTTTCATCCTTACATTTTCATGTGTGAGATTTGTCTGGTCCATTGCCCTTCAGGACACACTCTGATTGTATACTTTCCTCTTGTCCTATTCCTGTTGATCTTCCACTTTGTCTGTCTTTGAATGTAATTGGTGGTTTTTTTCATCATTGGCTGTTTGACTATGGTTTGTTGGTCCTCTACTATTGTTGACTATCAGGCAATCTTATACACTACATTTTTCCTTTTCCATAACCACAGGATGTTTTCTTCCTCTGTCTTCAATCTGTTCTGATCCTTCCTTCTTCACCATCCACCTTGCCCAATTCCATGCCTGTCTGGAACCTCCTTTGTAGTGTTACACATTCTCACATGTGCCAAGTGCTGATTGTATTACCTTTCTCTTAAGACTTATTTCCTCGTCCTTCTCACTTGTGGTCTTCTTTAGATGACTACCCACACATTCATCACTCTTTATCTTTATAATATGGCTGTTTTTCTCCCATGCAATTTTGACTCCACCTCCCAGTTGCCATTCTTCATTCAACCTGCTGTCCTTGAGATGGGTAAGTTTGTTTCTTATTCTCTCTCCCCTTCCTTCTAACAGGATCCTACCACATAGCTGTGTTGCCTCCCAAGGTATGCTTATTTCCCAAAATCTGCATAGGCCAGGGGTAACAGAAAGTGCTCAAACCATCTGCCCTGGCTGTATCAATGCCCACTGTTGAGATGGGATGTTCCACAAGACCATTACATGTACCCTCATGGTATACAATAAAATTACTAAATTGCCTGATCTAGGACTCTACCATTCCATGGACTATCATGGAAAAAAAAACCAGCACCAGGGAGTGACTGCCCACCTCTTTGGCTCATACTTGCTGGCTTTTAATTATAGGGATTAGCGGTCACCCATTAAACTGTCTCCAGTAAAAGACCTTTCCAACAGGGAGAATGATAGGGATCTGGGTGCTTCTCTGGGTCTCCCCAATGTAAATTCTCCCCCCCCCCCTCCTTTTCAAGTGGAGCATAGGAGACCCTTGGCAGTAATCAGTTCCTAGCCTCGTAGGTGCTGGACCTTGGAAATTCCTTACTTGTTGGGCTTAGCACAATATGATGAGAAGTATGGCAGTGGTGACACTATTTGTGTAGTACAGGTCACCCTTCAAACACCTCATATGCCTTCCTCCTATACCGTGAGTTCCCTAATCATACTACACTTTGGCTCGCTGACTCAGTTGGCCATATTTGAATTCCATCTCTCTTTTGCATCTCCCCCTTTACATTCTGGGCTAAGAATATACCCTGGTCGAGATGAGGTCCAATCTCCGACAGGTGTGCCCCTATAGAGCCCCTGCCATTGGGTGTCACACTCCATTGGCTTTTTAAAAGAGTTCATCTGGTTTTAAAATTTTACACTGGTTCTTCCACCACTTCAGTATGGGATTCTAGCTGTTCTGTGTGAAAAGATGAGGTATTGTCTTGGAAGTTAACATTTTCCTAATCTGAAAATTTATTTTAGACAAATTTTTACCTCCTTACACGTTTTCACCCGACCTCCCCACTTCCAGTGCAGTTTTTTTCTTACCTCATCTATGAATGAGATTATCTCGAGTGCAAATGCATAGGAGGAGTTACTGCGCATAGAAATTGTTTTTCCCTGCTATTATTGAAGGGTTATTTTCGCATGATGATATCATCATGCACCAGTCCAATTTACACTAAACACATGAATTTAACACATGCCACTAGCCCAAGACTAGTGTGTATTCGAGGGGACCACATAATAACAGTGGAATTTAACAAAAGAAAGTAAGTGCATAAAAACCACTAGAGTTCCAGTATTAACCACAAACTTACCTTTCTACATTTTAATGTGTTGAATGCACCTGTTTCTGTGAATTCATGATGTTGGTAGTAATGTTCATCAGCTTAGCCTCAGGTCAGGTTCAGCAATCATCCTGCTTCTGAATTTGGATTTCAGGGCTGCAAGTGATAAATATCCTGTATTGCACACATACACATTAGCAAATGGCATCAGAAAATAAATACTTTGTCTGCAGTTTCTGGGATTCTCTCCAGTTCTCTGAAACCAAAACTCTAATAGTGAATTTCATTCAAACTTTAATGTTCCATCACAAGAGAGCTCCAGCAAGCTCTTCTTTTTCATAGAGAAACAAGCAGGCAGATCATTATTGTACAATGCATGAAGACTTCCAAGTAAAAAATGTATTTTCTTACATTAACTCAAAAGCCACATAGCATAGAGTTTTGAACTTTTCACTTAATTGATACATATTCTTCCTGTTTATTTAACTAAATTTGTAAGGTCTCAAATGCTGAGTTTCATCCAGGAACTCTTTTCATAATTATGAAACCTTTCTGCACACACCACCTGAAGGAAAGCTCTCAGACCACAGTTTTGTAACCTTTGATGTAAAAAATAATAATCAAATAAAATTCAATGTTGCATCCTGTCACTACTAAAAATGCTTTGAACCACATCAACATCTACTATTACACATTAGATAAGATGTAACTTTCAGGTAAAATTTGTTATGATATGGAACACTTATTCTTCAAACATTGAATTTCTCTTATGAGTAATAAAAGTGAAGTTAAATTTCTTTTATATTTTGTTGCTTTATTTATTGATATGTTATTTTTTTATTAGTGTTGTTAGTTGTCTGGGATGTGCTGCTATTATCCCCACCTATAAACATAAGATTTTAAAGATTTTGTTGTGTGTGTATATATATTAGATATCATTTTACTTTAAAACATAATATAACAATTATATTAATGATGCAGAGAATTATTGTTTATAACTTAGGCTGGAGTATGTAGACCAGTACAGTACCAGCTTCTTAGACTAGCAGAACTGGGTTGGATGTACAACAAAGTCCACAAATTTTGTGAAAGTCAAGATTTAGACAAAGCTTTAGGCTTAGTTGGACAAAGCTTTGTAGCATCCCTGAAGGAGGAGTTAAGTGAATACTACAGACTGCTTGCAGTTCTGGAATCACAGGTGCATTTATCATTTCAAATAAGGGATATGGCAGAAAATAATTTGTATTGGGTTGATATTTTTATTTGGATTAGTTAGTGGGTTTTTGTATAACTGATTAATAACCTCAGTAGTCAATGGACTTTGGGCAATACTTGTAATCAGATTGTAATTTAATAATGATAATAATTGCATAATTACTAGATTAAGAATCTAATATTAAATTGTACCAGAATTTTGAACCATTCAGGTCCTTCTGATAAATAATTCATGAAAATGGTAGAATCACATGTTTTTTAATAGAATGGTGAAAATTGATGGTTTTTTAAATTGAGTTTCTTTGAATTTTAAGTAGGGAAAAATTTATTAAAATTATTTTTTAACAGTCCAAAAAATAAAAAAATGTACATATGCTTTTTACGTTTTTTAGTTGCAACCCAATGTCAGTAATGAAGAACCATATGTAAGTACTCGGTCAGGGTCATTAACTGTTCGTCAGCTGATGGTGTGGACTTTGGACCCATTTGTGAGAATGAAACAACTGGCTGCTCTTGTAGATGCTTGTCGAAGTAAGTATTAGTAAAATTGGGCAGTTTATAATTGTTAAAGAAGAAAACCATTGGTCAATTTACACAAATGTTTATCAGGTTAATATTTCTTATTTTTGCTTTATTATTTTTATTATATATTTGTGTTTATGAATAGCTCTTTTAGTCCATTTAAGATATATATATATATTTAAAGAATCAACTTTTACAGAATTGGGCTGAATGTTTGTGCGTGGATATATGTATTTTAACTTTGATCCCTATGTTTTGTATACACTTTAAAATTCCTTGAATTTTTTTATGAGAGCTCCTAATCCTTGACTGTTGAATCTGTTTAGGATCTATTAAATTTTAATAGACATACTAAAAACAATTTATGGCATAGTAGTGCTAAAACTTTTGTCTAAAACATGTTTGGGAAACTGGCATATTTCATCAGGATCCATTGATTTGAAAAGCATGTGTACTCTCACTTGGATTTCCAATCTGCAGACATTTATGTTACTTTTATTGTTTGTTTAAGTTAGTGAACACAACAAGCAATTACCATGTCTGGAAGATACAATTTCAAAAATAAATTGCTGGGTAAAGAAGAGTACAAGTCATGGCTGAAGAAGGATAATAGCAATCTAAGTGGAGCTTTTGGCTTCTTTTTTATAAAAGTTATAGGCTTGCATACAAGTAGCCATGTGTAAACCAAAAATCACCGTGATTCTGCCAAATGATGTACAAAATCAGTGATGAAGGTTGGAGGCTTTCCTTACTAACAAATCAGTTGAAAGTTCAAGCTAATGGTTCCTTTAGTTTCAACATAATCATACTTATGTAGCTCCCACATATCAGAAAAGCTGTAAAAAGTTATTGAATTTTATATTTTGCACTCCTGGTCCAAAAAACATCAGGGAATTTTATTTTACAGACAAAAACCAAGAAAAGTGACTAAATTTCATGTGATTCAGTGATGCTTCTAAGACACAGCTGCAAAAAAGTAAATTATTATAAGCACCAAAATAAAATTGCATGCAGGTTAATTATGGCTCATTTAACACTTCAGTATATATATTTTATGTTTAAACAGTATTTAAAAGGATAGGAATCATATTTCAGCATAGGTTAAAGGGGAGAGGGATTTAGTAGAGTTTAAGGTTGTTTTTAACAGTAATCTTGAAGCAAACCAAAGTAATGGGAATTTTTCAAATACTTTTGTTTTGGTCTGCAAACAGAAATAATATACCATTCTATTTTAGAAAATTTGAAACCCGTAGCATTTGAAATAATTAGAACAGATTGATAAAGAATCAAGAAATTATGCATCTTTAAAAAGAATATTTCATTTTTAATTATCAAAACAATTTATAACTTCTCAACTGTAATAAATGAAAAACATCTTATACTTGGTGTTTATGTTATCTCATACAGAATCCTTAACTTTAGCAAAGTTCAGTATGGCACAACTTTTTTATATTGTTCTGAATTTTGTATTGTCATTGGTAAAAAAATTAATCTCTGTATTTTGAATAATAAGTAACAAAAATGCTATAAATAATTTTACTTAAATTTTGTTCAAAGTATCTCACTCATTTCTCGCTGTTTAGTAATCAGCTAAACATTAATACCTAAGTGATGTAAAGTCAAAACATAAATTTGTTATTTTAAAAACCTGTGGGTCATGCATGACCTAGTGATCAGTTTGCTGGACCATGGGTATGTTATAAGAGTGAAGGTCAAATTACACTATTTGACTAGAGGGTAACTGAAGAAGTGGTGGTGGGTGCTACTGACTAGCTTACTCCTCTTTAGAGTGTTAAGTCAAAAATAAGGATAATTAGTACAGACAATTTTGTGTGGCTTTGTACAGATATCTAAAGAAAAAAGACAGACCTAGCTAAGTTATGCTAGTTGTAGTGAGATATGTTTTTATTTCAATATTTAGACCTGTTAACGTGCTTTTGAAATGTAACACATATTTCCATGTAATCTATTCTTTACGCTTAAAAATATGCTTTTTACTCTAAAGATTTTATGATACTGTTCTGAAATATTGTTTCCAGTAATTTAAGATAACTTTACTTCAATTTGATGGGGGATGTTATGCACATTTACAACCATTATTGCATTCTTCAGTTAAATAAGTATATCATCTCTTCTTTCTCCTTAGTTGTAAGTGAAATGTCTAATAACTTCTCTAATACTGCATTGATTTCCACAACATTTCTTCAGGTCAAAGGGGAGGAGCTTTAGCCTCAATTCTATATTCATATCTGCATCATGCTGATCCTAGTATTCGTGGACTAGTCAAGCATATATTATCAGTGGTGAGTAACCCGACTTAAACAGGCAGGAGTTTCTAAATTGTGATTGGCATCTTGCTAAATCATTATAGTTCCTATGAAGGTAGAAATTTTATATTTTTGTTAATACCTTAGATTATGTTACTAAAATGTATTTTGAGTTTTATATATATATATATATATTTCTCTTGTTACAATGTGTATTTTGTTTCTGTAAAATGTCTTTTTTTAAAAACACACAATGTGATTTTCTTGTATTCAAGATCTGCTGATTCAATTTATGTTACTTCTTTATGTAGTTTTTAGTTGAATAGCAAATAGTCTTTTATAGATTTTTATAGAAAAATTATGTTCAGTATTAACCCTCTCACTATGGATAGCTCAGTGTGTGCATGTCACAACCTTTTAGAGAGTTACATTCAAAATTTAATTAAACTATTTTATTATTGATGTATACAAATAAACTAGGCATAAAAATGTAGTTCATAAATCCAATTTTAATATTGTATAAGTTTAAGTTCTTAATTTTATAAGAAAATATTTTTAAAAATCAACAAACCTCCCTAGTGAGAGAATTCTGACATTTTTTCTCTAGGTCTTCTCCCAACTCTGAAGTACAGAATTTAATGTAACTTACTCATTATAATATAGATATTACTAAGGCAAAGTCTAATTTTTATAGCCTTCAATCTTAATTGTTTATGGAATCATAAACTAAAAAATCAGATCCACTTGCCATGCCCACCTGTCACATCCTTTCACAAATTGTCAATATTTCTTTCTGACACTTTATACTACATTACTATTAACCAACAGAAAGATGAAGTTTTAATCTATCAAATGACATACTATATTACATTGTTTTCAGTATACAGAGTGTTGTCTATCATCTTCAGTTTCAAACCTTCTCTCACGGTATTTAGATTGAGAAACGTAAATAATCATTTTAAGGCTCTCATTCCGTAGTTAGAAAGTCAGTTAAATTATGATAGTTATAGAACATTGTTTGCTTTGTGTGTGTTATTTTTTGTTTTCGTAGTTGCATTATTTAAGTAAATAATCATTTAGTGTACTAGTACCATTAGTATAAAAAACAAAGTAGACTTATATTTCATCAGCAACTGACAGAAAAACAAGAGAGCAAAGGTAAGTACTATATTTCTTGTTTTTCATGTATATTCTTTAATTATTGTTATAAAAGTAACTAAAATGTAAAAATTAGAAACATATTAGGTAAGATAATGAAAAATAATGATAATATAAATTCTTCATGAGGAATGCTTGTGAGCTACACACTTGCTGAGTAATTTACAACTTGTATAGCAGGAGTATTAGTTAGACAGGGTTCAAAGGGCAATAAAATTAAGTATAAACTTATATATTGTTACAAGCTTTAATCTGTTTAGGATGAACAAATGTACCTGTTACAATTTAGAGTCATAAAGGGTAATTTAAATTTATTTTATATTTCTTTCATGGTTACATGGTAGATCAAATCAATCAAATCCATGCAGAGTTAGGGTAAAGAAAATAACACATAAAATATAAAGTTTAACTGAAAAAAAAAACGTTTGTTATTTGTTTAGGAAGTTTTAGAGGCTACAGAAATGAAATTTGAAAATTTTTAGTTGAAGAAAAATACTTTTAATCTTAAAATGAAAATCACTTTGCACTCAGAGCAGTCAACACTCTGACTTAATATATTCACAAGTAAATCTTCAGTAAAAATACTTAATTGAAAAATCTGTTGTTGTTTTTTATGTACAAAAGGCTTCTAATGTTTGCTGAAAGCTTGCCAAATTTTGTGAAGATATGTATACCATGTTAAAAGTTATATTTTGGAAACTTTTGTGGTTATTTTGTGGTTACAAGGTCAGTCAGGTTGACTGAGCTCATGTGGAAAGTGTTAACAAGGTATCTGCATATGTACTCAGACTCAACTACCATCAGGTTTTAAATTACCTAACCCAGGTCTGTTTTATTACTACCCAACTATCAATTATTAATTTGAGAATAATTATTTTGTCATATCCAGTAAAGAGGCTACAGAAGACCATAGATATGAGTAGAAGAAATGTACTATATACAGCAGTTGACTCTGTATGAGACACTTAAAAGACTAATATTTGTGTTCAACTTAATACAAGTTTTGTTTTTATTGGTATTATTTCTACTGAACAGGACCCCAATTCCTGGATATTTTTCAAAACTGGTATCCAGTTTCTGATTTTCTATCCATACCAACCTATAGTAATAATATGTTAAAGAAGTACCATACCCCACACTTTAATGGTGTTTAGTCTTTGTATGCAATTGTTCTTCAGGTTGTACAGCCTATCTACAGAATGCTGAGTCATTGGATCTTCAGTGGAGAATTGGAAGACGTATATCACGAGGTTAGTTTTTTTAAACTTGACAAGCTATTTAGATGTTTTTCTGAGTTAGTAAGAAGTCTTCACAAGAACTGCATTTAAACTGGTGGTCCTTGTTTTCATTTCTGAAACGTGTCACGAACCTTTTCAGAATAATATATATATATGTTGTTTATATTATTGCATTTGTTTTATAAGTTCCTAAAATATCAATAATGTAATATTCTGTGTTCATGAGAATTGGTACATGACTTACAATGATAATTGTCACTCACTACATATAGTGACAATGTACAAACCAAACCATGACTTCCCAGTTCTGTATTTGCACTACACATTTAAGTGAGAGATGATGGGTAATATCTTTGTGCATTGTTTTGTCTCATATAATTAAAAAATGTGTACATATTAAACACAAACTAATTACATTTATATTTGAAGAAGTATGCTTTTGTTTTCCTAGTTTTTTGTAGCAGTGAACTCGTCTGTACCAAATACAAGTCTGTGGCATGAAAAGTACAGTTTAAGAAAGACTATGGTGCCATCTTTTCTTACTATGAGTCAGGCTAAAAAGGTGAGAACAGGCATGTAATCTCCTAGGTTTAATTACTTTGTTTATATTTTTGTTTGTTTTTTTACTTTACCTTTGTTACCAAAAACATTTTTGCACAATTTTCTTCTGTTGGTTGTTATATTAAAGTAAAAATGCACATTATTTCCCTCTAAAATCATTTTAAGACAAAAATTATGGATGTTCAGTATTAAAAAAAGAAGTTAAATTTGTTTCCATACCGTAAATAAATAATTATTGGGAGGAAGTTTAGGTAATTCTTAGGACTATCTAGCACCTTATAAAGACAAATCTTGTCGTGCTAAGCTTCTCTGATACTTCAGATTTCTGTATAAATTGTATCATTTCATTTTAAGTCTATTAATCTGAAATAACTTTTTTCAGTGGAAGCTATGTTAGCCTGCATAAAAAATTGCTAAAAGCTTCTTAAAATCTGTTACAAGTACAGGATCTTTATCATATTAATGCCATATTAAATTAAATTAATTGGTCAACAAATATTGAAGAACTGATTAATTAAGATCAATGGATATTAACACTATTGTTGTGGAGTAGTGTAGTGACTTTGTAAATATATAACATTTTCAGAGAAATTTATCTAAATAAGGAAATGTTTCTACTTCTCTAGGTGCTGTCTACAGGAAAAGCTATCAACTTTCTTCGAATGGTATGCCATGATCACACTTCTGTTCGACCTCAGGATGAACACAGTGAAAGATCTGATGCTGCAACAGGTAGTGAAACATTAATGAAAACATAACCCATTTTAGAAGAACAATACTTATGAAATTTAATTTTAAAACAGAAATCTACTTTTATAAATATTTTACTGTAAATTCTTTGCAGTTTGCTAGTTAGTTAATACTAAGTTTTACCAGTTATAGATGATTTTCTGGAAATTTAAAAAAATCTGTTTCTGTTCCTTATCAAATGTAATTAAGTCAGTTGCAAAATAAATACAACTGCATTGTACTACTAAATATATCAATTTTTTTTTAGTTTATTAGAATCAAACCAAAAACAGTCATACGAATTGGTTAGAAAATATATGTACAAGAAGGTGTGATAAGTCTTCATAATACATTGTTATTTCTTTACTCTCTTTCAGTGGAATCATTGTTTAATCAGAATCAAGACAGTGACTTTCAAAGACTCCTTGAAGCTATTTACAAAGAAACTAGTCGTCATGTTCTCAAGTCGTTATTTACTCAGTACAAGTTCATAGATCATTTACTGGTATATGTTCTATGTATCTTTTTCTTTACTAACTAGCAACACAGAAAGTGATAAAATTATTTATTTACTGCTGTGACAAGTGGAATTTCCAAAACATACTTACCTCCACTGACACTGTAGCTATTTCTCAATCTCCAGGGTTTCCAGTCTTTGCCCATCTAAACATTGAAAATGCTTGCTTCGCTGTTTTATATCCCACTCTATTGCCCTTGGCAACTTTCTCCTCAAACTTCAATGTGCCCACTATCTAGGTACTGTATATAAGCATGCCATTCAGATAATGTAATCACTTTTTCTCATAACAAAGCATTCACCAGAGGTTTCTATTCACAGTTTATGAACATAGTTTGCATTACTATGGTTATATCTTCGTATATTTATATATTACTTTAATAATAATAATATTATAAAAAACGCGTACCGACGTGTATGAATTCTCAAGTTAATGTTTCTATTGTGGAGGCCATTCAGATCTCTCCTCTTCCACCTCTGTTATCTGGTATTTGTCAATAACTAGGGAGGTGTCACTCTCAGTTGAGTCTGCCTGTGATATGGTCCATTGCGAGTGTCTCTCCAAGGGGTTTTGAGGCAGCTTTTACACATGATTCTGACCAGCTGGGGAGAATTTTGACTCGTTTTTTTGTGGCTCCTTCTTTTACTAGGTCAACCTCAACAGAGTATCATTTTGATTAGCCCCTTTTCTTCAGTTGGTTACTCAGGTTTATGAGATTTTGGGTGGTCATTTGACTCTACCCCTTCCTTGTTGACAGCAAGGACGGCAAGTGACTACTTATTTTTTTCCTCCTCCTCCTGATATTGCTGTTCATGCTGGGAGATTTGCTGCTTAGTTACCTGACAGGACATCTATGCCTTGTCCCCCACGTTTATCAGAACAACATGCTTTGGTTTATGACTGCCAAGAGGAGGTTTATTTTAATTCTCAATGAATGGACCCTCCATTTTGGAACCTGTGATAACTATAAACAGATCAGTTTTCTCAGTATTTATCTTTGATCCAATTTTTGTTGGAAGCCTATTAATGTTACCCATGGCAATTTGAGGTCTAGTTGGGGATTTTTGCTGATGTATACCTCAGTCAGATTGTCTTTGTCAGTTCTTTCTCTGTTTTTCTGGCTTGTTTGTTGCTGGGATTTATTGGGTAGAGTGTTTGTTTACAGTCTTCTGCCCTCAGGGAGTTACAGGAAGCTCCTCTTTCTCCATCCCATGCTGTTTGCGAGAGTTCCAGAGACGTTAGAATCAATATTTGATTCAGTTTGTTTTCATACTTCTTTATCCTCACTGACTTTTCGCCTTTCTGGCACTAATTCGGGAGTATCAGTTCTTAGTTTTCCCAAGTCTATTGGTTCCCATATTAGAGTCTGTCCCCCCCCCCCACGACTCTACTGAAGGAGCTTGGGAGTCCTTAACACCCCAGTTTCCAGTTGCTGGGGTTGCAGACAGAGGTCTTTCCTCCAGTGTGTTCCTCCACTCTTGGAGAAGTGGGCAAAGTTGGGGGCTCTCCAACTCAGGTCTTTGGACGTTTTTCCCAGATGTCAGTAGGAGTGGCACCGGCCTACACATAATTCCAGTTCAGATTTGACACAAAGCTATTTGGTTGGGGAGTGCATGGCCCTTTTCTTTGATCAATGTCAGTTTCATATATTATTCATGAAAGAAGGTCCCTTATCTCCTAATAATTTCGAACATGATGTGCTCCCATCCTAGGCCCTTGGTTGAGCACAGGTTCCAAGTCCTCTCCATAATTACAGGGGCAAAAAAAAACCACTCGTTGCCCAGACCGGATGAGTTCTGTTCCTTTGGTTGAGTATGGCATAAACGATCCTGTCATTCAGAGACTGGGATGTTGCTTTTTGGACTTCTTTATGGGTAGGAGAAAGTTTGTCCACTTCAGTGTTGTTTATTTTCTCGTCATGATTCCAGTGGTGCGAAACACATCACTTTATGGCTACAGGTTGGGATCCAATCAAAAGTATATATAATATTGCAGTCCAATAGCCCTAGCCACTAAAATGACCCCTTAATTCCAACTCCAAGTTATGGAACCTCAGCTGTCTGGTTGGGGCTGGCCCACACTGACAGTTACTCGTAATCTATTCCACCTTTGATATAGGAACCAAGTTCCTGGTGAAGAGCATACTTTTTCTGGATGTAGTGCAGTTCCCCCACTCTTGTACCATCCTTATCTTGGTACACTTCTGTTCCATACAGATACTTTCTGTATGGTTCATGCCTGCACTGGCCCCTCCACCTTCTCAATGTGGAATTTTAGGGTAAACAGAAATATGTTTTGGAAGTTAAAATTTTCCTAAACTGAAAATTATTTCCAATAATACTTGCCTTCACTGACACTCTCCCGCCCTACATCCCCACTAAAAGCCAGTTTTTGTTTTGAAAAAGTGATTAAATTATCTGAATGAAGTGCTTATATACAGTACCTAGATAGAGGGTGCATTGAAGTTGGTGGAGAAATTTGCAAATTAGAATTTGCTAAGAGCATTTGAGTGGGTATGAAAGACTGGAGCAAGTGTTTTCAATGCTTAGATGGGCAGTGAGTTGAAACCCTTGAGATAGAGAAATAGCTATAGTGTCAGCAGAGGTAAGTATTACTGTAAATACATTTACAGTTTAGGAAAATATGAACTTTAATAGCTATCATTCTCAAGAACTTTAAAATATTTAAATCTATGAAACATGGAACAAAGTTTCTAAACAATGTTTGGTTTTTACCTGAAAAGTAAAGTTTTTTTAAGTTGTAATATGTTTGAAGTGTTGTTGTGATACATTTGGATAAACAAACAAAAATACATTCTGTTATCTTAGGCTATCTTTTTTTATTATTAATCAAAAACATGTATCTTATACATACATACTTATGTTCATCAGTATTTGTGAAAGTTCTTTGTTTTGACAGTTCAAACTTCACTTCCCACAGTAAATCACACAAACATAGTATGACTGTGAAAATTACCTTATGTTTCAAAATCTCAACACTGCTATCTTTGTCAGGCATCATAGCATAATATTTTGCCAACAATTTTTTGGTTGAGATGAATTTATATCTAATTTTAGTTTGTTTCTGTTAAGTTGCTGTAGTTCCATGTGTTGTTTTAATACACTAATCTTAATATATATTCAATAAAACAGGATTTGTGTTATTTAACTAGTTGACCGTTGCAGGCTTTGGCTTACTGTACTCATTAATGATAAATATCCTAACATGATATCATTTATTAGAATAATTTTTGTATAGCTTTCAAACATTCATGATATAACATAAAACCAGAAACAAAAAGAAACTATAAAAAAATCCCCATCTTCTAATTATTTCAGAAGTATTTTAACTTTTCCTGGAATTTCCTTACTGTTGGCTGTTACCCACCACAACATTTGCATAAATTATTTTCACATGGTACTATTGCATTCTTAATTATGAAATATTCCCTATTTAATAGTTATTAGCTTTATGCTCTATCTGTTTTTAAGTCAGATCCATTCAAAGTTCTCAAAACCTTCATCATATAAGAAATTTTGAAATCCAAATGTAAACTGGGTTTCTATGACTATTCCGGTCTTAGTTTAAGTGATTTGATCTTGTTTCTTTTTGTAGGCTATGAGAAGGTACCTACTTCTTGGGCAAGGAGACTTTATTCGTCACCTGATGGATCTATTAGAGTATGTGTTCATTGGCTTTGTAATTATGAATGAAATTTTTGCTGGTGATTTCTTTTATATCTATGTCAGCCAGATTTTGGCAATTATCCAGAATAAACACTGTTTGTAATTATAAAAGTTCCAAGAAACAATATCATCGAAATACATTTTGAGTTTAACAGCTTTAATCATGGCATCTGTGTAGAACCATGTTCTACTTTATGTGTTTTTGATATTTATGCAATGAATGTTAAACAGAATTTTAGAGTTTCCCATTTTTATAAATATTACTGATCAGTTTTTAATACCAAGTCTATAAAACTTGCTACACATGAACAGCAACACCCTTCTTTTTCTTGTTTTGTTTTTATATCAGGTTGTTGAATATGAGTGCAACAGTGTCTCATTTGTTAAGGAAGAGAAAACTGAAACCACAAACATTATTAGTAACAGCACATAGAAGAAAACTTATGAAACAGTGTCTTTTCTTCTTTATATAAATTGTATATTAATGTGGAAGATTTTGCCTTTTGTTTTTCCACATTTGTGTAACGTGTGTGCTTTATGTTGGATTTCTACAGGGAAGAATTACCAAAATCAGCCAACATGGTCTACCTCCACAACCTTTCTGGAATACTCGAAAGTGCCATCCGTGCCACAAATGCTCAGTTTGATAGTCCTGATATTCTTCAGCGCTTAGATGTGCGACTTCTTGAGGTAATAGATAATAACTGTTATGCTTTTAAGACTGATACAACTTTACATTAAAAAAATTAGTAAAGTCACAGCAGATTTGATCTGATTAGTTGTTGTCACTGGCTATTTAACCCAGAGGCATTTTTTTCTTCACAAAATCTGCCTTCTTAATTAACCTTAATTAAGAACTTGGAAAAAGATCCAACACACACACATATATTCTAGCACATTAAACAATGTTCCTATCTTCATATTTGAAGGCACATTCATTCTAATCTGCAGCCACTTTATGGCAGAACCAACATATGCTGGTGCATAGTTAAACAAATTAAGTGATATCAAATGTTTGATATTTTCACTTGTGATATTCTATTCTTATACATGAAAACCTGCTGTAATCTACAATGAATATAAGTTGAGATGTACTTTAAATAAACCTGACTTAAGAACAAAATATACCACCAAAAACAGCTTTGTGCATCTATGAAATGAAAATGGGGGAAAATTGCCTGGTTCAAGGTGACTAGAAAAACTTTGTAGAACTAAGGATATACATAGGTAGTGCAAGTAGAGTATACAGCATTTTCAAAGTCTTCTGTCTTTCATCTTCAGGTATTGTCCACTGTTCTTTTGCTGCACTTGTTGATCCTTAGTCCTCCAAGTTTCTCTGTGCAATGTCACCCTGAAATAGGCAGTTGTCACCCATTTCACCTGTATTTTGCTTCATGAATACTTTGCCTAAACCATCTATAAAAGTGTGCAACTAAACTTTAGGTGGTTTATATATAAATCCTAGATACCTTAAACTGAGTGAGGAATATAATATCTATGTAAAAAGACCATTAAGTATCATACTGAAACTTCAGCTCTGTCATTGTTGATTTTGTAGTACTGGGAATAATTAATGGACTGACACTTCATTGGCATGAAATTGTGTATATAGATTATTGAAGGGCTTAATAATAAAAAAAAGTAGTTTTTGTTTCCTAGATAAAATTCCATGAAGGCAATAAATCATGATTTTGTTTTTTTCATGTTTCATGTTGGTTTTTCCATAGTAAAAAGTAGTTGCAAGATATTTTTAAAAGGAGCAAACAGATCTGTGAATTAATTCCATTATAGAGGATGCATAGACTTTTTACTGTTCCTGTACTAATAGGAGTTTTTATAATTTTTGCTTTACATTCAGTGATCACTTAGGTAATAAAAAAGTTGAGTGATTATACTATAAACTAATCACTAAAGGGACTAAAATGTCTTCAATTTTATTAACTGATGTGACTGTCTTTATAGTGTCACATTTTGTTTCAGACTCTTTACATTGTTTTGTGGTTTCTCTTGTATTAGGGAAGGATATTTTATGTTATTTAATATTGCTTCTTTTGTAAAACCAAAGTGGTTACATGCTTTTCCCAAATATTCTTTCTTGGAAAGGATGGTTGCATCAAATATTTGTTGCCGACTGTTTGAATATTTGTCAGATAAGAAAATAATAGTATTAATTAAAACTTGCAAAACCTGTTTTGTAAATTTTATTCTTAAATTATGTTTAACATGCATCATAGAATATGAACAAAAACCAAAAGTTTCACAAATATGGGTATCTCTCGATTTACAAATGGGATATGTTCTTGGAGAATGTAACATATAATGAAAAAGTGTAAATTGAACATGCTTTTCCCATTATTTTAAAGGTAAAAAATAGGGGTTGCATTCCTGACCCAAAAGTTTTGGCCACAGTAACATAACATTTTCTTCTGCTGTAACGTTAGAAAATACTATCACAATTAACACAAACCTAAAATAAAAGGAAATTTTCATTTATAAAATACAAAATGTAGTGTACATTCATAAATTGAGAGATGCCTGTATACTAAAAAAAGTATTAAACTTTATAACTAGTCAAATCATACTGTTTGTATAAGTTATGAGAATCACATAGCCAGAGATGTAAATATTTTTTTAATATTATAGCTCTGGGCTAGTAGGCATGAGAGATGAAATTCTAATTAAATTATTACATATTGCAAATATATATATATGGACTTACACACACACTGCAGTGACTTCTACCACATTATAACAAAATTAAAATGAATATGATCTACTACTACTGCATATGTGATAAAGTGGTATTCCTGGCAGAATGGAAATACTCTGAATTAATGCATGATGTATAAGAATTAAAAAACTCTGGTTAGGTTATCCAATTTCAGGCTTGTGAACAATCCATTGATGATAAAACAAACACAGTGATCCAGTGTTTCAAACACCTCACCAATTTTCTGTCATTCCTCAGAAAAAGGCAGAGTTCCAAGTGTACTTTCTAATTCATTTTGCTCCAATTTAGCTGTTTCATCTCCTTAATAAAACTTTGCATTAAGAATGATTTATTATCCCACTGAAAAACAAAATCGTATATGTTATAAACTGTTATATATACTAAACTCAGTTATTGAGCATTTTTATTTAGAAGTTAATAAGTTATGCATAAGTGTGTTTGTATATCTGGCTTATAATTGAATAACCTGTTGTCAATAAACAGGCTACCTATCTTACAAATGTTTCAGTTACAGTAGATGTCTAATGATTTATTAGATAAAATATCAGGTCGCAGTTTTGTAGATTTTAATAATTAAATTGTTGTATATACAAGATTGTTCAGTTTAAGAGTTATTACAGAGTTTATCTATTGGTTTAATATTCAATGATTATTTAGTTTTAAAAACAAGAGTGTTAAGAATTAATTATTTTAAAAGCAATAGTTATGACAAGTTTCGTTATGTAACTCTGTACAAGTCGTATGTTGTGTGTGCAGTTTAACTGCTTGTACTAGGATTTTGTAATATTGTTCACGTCATCTTACTCCAAGCTTCTAAATCTTGCATGTTATGTTTAACATTCTTGTTACTAGAGGACTGGATATTTCTAGATTTTTCTGCCACATGTTATAAATATGTGTGTAGATACAGAGAAGTAAAGTTAGAAGGTGTGATTGTTAACTGTAGCCATAACTGGCAATATTTGCAGTGAGTTTCACAGTCGTATTGTAACAACAGTAATAAAGGAGAATAATTTGTATTGTCATAGGGTGTTCTAAAGTAATTGAACCCACCTGTATGAACTTGGATGAAAAGAAGACAATTATTTTAAGCTCTGGATACAACTGTGGTAGTCAACAGTTATAGTGGTGATTTCTAAAGTGAAAGTTTCCCATATTGTATCATGAGAAAGAGATATAGAGAAACTAATTTGTCTTGTCAATTGAGTTCTAAAGTAATAACTGAACTGGCCTGTGTGGACTTTTGACAAGAAAAGAGAATTATTTAAAGCTTTAGATACAATTGCATTAACCAATAGTGTAATGAGTTTTTGTACATACGTTTGCTTGTTTTGAATATATTATTTTAAAACAAGTGGATTGCGTGCTGTCCGTTTATTGTTGATATTTATCGAAAAAAGTCACATACACCTACTGTAAAGAGTTCGCCCCCCATAAAACTTGACATAAATATAAAGTTGGATTTTATATGCACACATTTGATGCATGCAGAACTGCACTAGCCCTGAGTTAATACATATGGAATTCACAACAGCCTGAACTGAAAATATGGTAGTCTCGGATATCGGATTATTGAGTTTTTACACCCCTGCTGAAAACCTCAATGTATTGTAAAATAATATTATTTGCTATTCAGATTTCCCAAAATAAAATGTGCAAGACAATTTAGGTAGAAATAGGATCACTTCATAACTACAAAAGTTTACCTGTCAGTGCTAAGATAATTATTTTACAAAATGATAATACATTTTTGAATTTTGTGCTCATATAATCCATATGTATTTGCTAAATAATCTAATAATATTCTTTTGTTTACTGGAAATTAATGGACAAATTATATTTGTAAAACTTAATTTTATCAAAATTTTAATTAAAGAAAAGGATAAATTGCTGTTTTTCCTTAGGTATATGTTTGTTACTTACTGAGTCATGTACTAGTAGTACCTTTTCTTAACCTGATGAATAAGTAGTAATGATATTAAAACATTTTAAATTAATGATTTTATGATTCAGGTGATAGGTTTTTTTATTAAAATAATAATGCTTTGTGTCATAGGCTTCTGTGGGAGACACTGGTTGGGATGTTTTTAGTTTGGACTACCATGTCGATGGGCCTATAGGAACTGTAAGTATATAAACAAGCATACAGAATAAATTAAGCACCTTGCTTTCTTGTTAAAGAATAGAGAACTTTTTTAAGCATAATTATATATGATATTGTAAAAAAAATGCAAAGGTCTAGTGATGTTTTGTTAATTGATTAGGTAATAAATATTGTATACTAACATTAATTAGCAATAGTATTTTTATGAATTTGACATTGTAAACCATCTTTCAGCCATCAAAGGAGCTACCAAATTAAAATTTACTTACCCTTCAATAACACAAATCAAATATATCTAATTATATTTTATCCTTTTTAGGTTTTCACTCCTCAGTGTATTAATGCTTATCTTCGCCTCTTCAATACTTTATGGAGGTCAAAACGAATGGAATACATATTGTCTGGAATGTGGCAAACACAGATGACATACTCCCGTCTCTTGCGAACCCTGCCAGGTAAGAAAGTAAATTGTTTTATTAAGTACTCCACCACAGTACTCCACTACATTTATTTTAATACAACTTGAAAATATAAAAGCTTTTTATACCTTGTTTTCATACTGATAAAAATTGCCAATAGAATTTGATACTATTGTAACTTCACCTTACGTACAAGGTTAAATCTATTATGTTATAGAGAATATTTTCTCTACTGTTTGTTTTAGAAATTTGTAGATAATAATAATTCTGGCTTATTCAGACACTTGCAGTAGAGTTGGCATACTGATCTAGCTTCTTTGGATGTCAGATGAGATTTGAGTCTTTTTTGATACTTGTTTTTATCCATCCGTGTAAAATCCACATCTTTTATGCATACCTATGTTATTGTATTCTGATTATGATCTGTGTGTTGTTATTTTATTGTATAATTGAGGTTCATGTCTATTGAATATGTTAAGTTCACATTTTGATTGAAACAAAATTCTAGCAAAAAAAGTCAATGAACACACCTACATGTACTTTTACATAATGATAGTTTAAGGCAAAATAGGGAGGAACAAGACTGACAGATTTTTTTAAAAAAAGCATACCACTGAACACAGAAATGTCAGACACTGCTGAACTTAATGGTGAACTGAAAACCAGATAAACTGAGCAATTTCAAGATTGTAAGCAGCAGCCAACACATAAAAACAAAAAAAATCTTTTATATCAAAAAAAGTGACTTCATTGACATGAGATGTATATACAGTATTGAATTTAACAGAAATCAACTGTTCTTGTAGTATATAAGAAAACACTACATAAATTCTCAAGTTTAAGAATATTGTGTTATAACAGTGTCTTAGTTAAGCCTGAAGATCCAGATAATTGTCAAAAGTTACCAACTACATGATCAAAAGGTATTTCTGGCCATACTAAAATTAATATTATCTATATTACGTAAAATTGCTGAAGGGATAATGTAGTTGGACTTGTCATATCACTTCATATATTTAAAATCAAAACACCCAAAAAAATCAACTGGAAAAGTAAAAGAATAAGTGAATCAAATACAACCATGAAAATGACTTTGAAAATTTATAATACAGTGTGTAATCTAACTGAAAATGATCTAAGCATTTCATTTTTCATTTTCATAGTTGAGGCTTATTGATGTCCTGCAATAGTCCTAGTGTTTCAAATAACAAGATTTTTACCTTATATCTGACCAGTATACAAAGTTAAAGTTTGCTATGTGAACTAAAATTGCTGGCAAAGTCATTGTAGTATGTCAGCTGTAGGTTAGGTCACTTGCCAAGTCACAAATAGCAAGTAGAAATTCAGAAGATAAGCAGCAACCCTTGACCTCAAAGATCAGACAGAAATAACAACTTTAACCCCATAATCAAAGATCAGACAGAAATAACAACTTTAACCCCATAATCAAAGATCAGACAGAAATAACAGCTTTAACCTCATAATCAAAGATCAGACGGAAATAACAGCTTTAACCCCATAATCAAAGATCAGACAGAAATAACAGCTTTAACCCCATAATCAAAGATCAGACAGAAATAACAGCTTTAACCCCATAATCAAAGATCAGACAGAAATAACAAACTTAACCCCATAATTTTTCATGAATTCTGCCAGAATTATTGTCATGATGTCCTAATAATTATCATCATACCTTATACAGTTTCTGGTCTGTTTATAAAAGGTGGATAATTATATGGTTTGTATTAGTTTTCAGCCAGAAATACATGTTACTGGATGCTGTCACCATCTGATGGGTAAATATAGATTTTCAGCCAGATGCTGACAGTGTCTGCTCAGGTTTAAGGAGTTAAATGAACTTAACTGAAACCAACTTTAACAAAAATTAATATTGCATTTCTAATAACAATGCTTATATTCTATTTACTTTCCATTATGCCAAAACTAAACATAAAAGTATGTTTAAGTTAATAATCCTTTGTCCACTAGTGTGAAACTTCAATAGGCATGAAGTGAGTGTGAGGAATGGATTGACTTGCAGTATTTTGTTAATATTGATAATATTGTCAAAATTATGTATTGATCAGAAACAATACTTTAAGAACTTATCATTTTTAAACCATTTTTTTATAAACAAGAGAATTAGTACCTTAGTTGATAACAGTGTTGAATAATATACTTAACTTAAATGAATCCTATGAAATTAGATCCTTGTTTTGATCCTTATACTTAAACTACTTAAAATTTCCAACTGATATCTCTCTCAACTTCCATTTCACTTTTGATGTTTGTGATCTGCATTTATGTCAAAACCAGAGGATCTGCATGAGACTTCAAAAATTGAAAATGGAAGAGCTTGAGTGGAATATCGTGTAATATGCATGGAGAAATAAACAGATGAGACTACTAGTTTAGTTAAAGAAAATCAAATCTCCATTCTTCAGTTATTTGCAACACATTTACATTTATTAAGACTATTGTGCTTAAATAAATTTAGCCAATCTGTTTAACCCTCTGTTGTGCATGACACAGTCTTGTACAGAGCGCCATGCAACATTGTATTATGAACTTGATTGCTAAGTTCATAATAATTCATGTTTCAGCAGAATAAATACCAAATACATTATATGGAAATGCTGAAAATAACTTTAGATATGCACTTAAGAGGTTGTAAAAATGCATTATGCAAACTGTACAATGGAAAAAAAAGTATTTTTATTCTTCACATGAACATCATCTTGTGCTTTGACTCTTCATGAGTCTGAGTCAGACTAAGTTTGGCATTACACAGATATATCTTCTGTATAGATATTTTATTTACACATCCAACTTCAACTTTGTGTGCACAACAGACTTGTACTGTTTACTAAAAGCATTCCACATTTTGTGACAATACACTGGACCGACCTCCTACACATTCAGTTAAGTTGGTGAGAGAAATTGCTGGCAAGTCTCACTTATTAGACTTTGAGTTTTCCAACATCTATCATTACAAATAACTTAAAACATTGTGTTCTATTTGATATTGTCTCAAATCATCTATTGTTCTATTGTATAACTAACTTGCAATCTAATGTGCTTCAGTACTACAGAAAATGTTCCAAACTTGAATATAAAGAGAAAAATATAGCAGGAGAAGAATGCTTGCAGTTACTCAGAAGTAAGGGTGATGTCTTCTTCAGTAACTTAAGCTTCAAAATATTTATATAGTTTGCACAAAAACTAAGAATTTAGAAAGTATTATTATTGCTCACATATACTCTGTTTTTTATTGATTTTCAGTGTATATAAAATAATGTCATTATGATTAATCGAACAGGATACACTTTTGGGTGTGCTCTAACAGTTTATTCCCCCCATTTTAAGTCATGTTCGTAGGTTATTGCTAATTAGAAATAGTGTTCTCAAGACATTTAAAGCATATTAGCATTTATTTAGTTGTAGGTGATTATTCAGAGCAGAAACAAAATTCTCAAGGGAAATTATCAAAATGTTGGTTCTCTGTTAACGTTTGAAAAGGAAAAAATAAAAGTAGTTGTATTGTTCTTATAAAATTTGACAGTTTTTCCCTTCTACTTAATTAGTTTTGACTTGAAATGTATGATATTTCAGGTGCAGCCCCAATCTTACATCACTGTCATTTTATCCTTTCTGAGATGGTCCATTTTGTACAGCAGGTGCAGTACTATGTTGCTTTTGAGGTAGGTTTAATTTTGGGTAAAGAATTAGTGTGTGAGTATTACATATATGATGTGATGGTTAAAATCAAAACATTTTTATTCCCTATATAAAGAAAAGGAGTATGATGTGCATCAGTTTTTGTTGTGCAAAAGTATAAGTGCTTAATTCTAGTGTTGTAAAAAAGGAACCTTTCATTTATTGTTTTAGTAAGTGGAAAGCATATGGTTTGCCACTTTTTTGTTTCTTTCTTGCTAAAAATGTTGCTTTTTGCAGATATGTGATAATAGCTGTTGTCCAATTGTAATGATGCATGTCGAAATTTATTTGTAATTTAAGGCAATTGTCAAAATAGAGGGATTTTTCAAATGGCAAGAAAACAAAAAGTAAACTTCTGTTTAGCAGATGATATTTTATTGCCTTTTTGTGTTGTTTTTGTATATTTTTTGGGGAAATGTGATTTAAAGACTGGAAAGGGGACAAAAATTGCTTCTCGTTAGCTTGATAATGCTACATGTAAAAGTGAAATGTTTATAGCTTGTTGTTATTATAATGAATTGATGTGAAAAATTCTTGGAAAGGACAAATAAACTTGCTAGGTGTGTTCTTATATTGACAAGTATTATATGAAGCTTAGAAGATTACACAATATTTCAATCTAAGCATAAAGTTTATAATAATATCACTAATTAATCACTGAGAGAACTTCTGTAGTCTTTATTTTCTGTTCTTCATTTGCCTTATGTCTAATCATTGCTAACAAAGTTTTATTTAAACCAGAAGAAATCAATCTTGATTTGAAGGAAACTTTGTCAACAATGCTTTAATAAATGTTATACAGATAAAGTTAAGAAAGAAACTACTATGAGATCAGATAATCTAGAGGCAATGTAATGTTCAACAAGATGTTTATAAATACCTTGACAATTTTTTCAGCTAACAATATATAAATTTGTTATTGTGCATTTGACATTTAATATTTTTAGCACTTTGTTAAGTATTTTAAAATGTATATTATAGTTAACGTGGCTTTTCTGGTACAAGTCTCTCCCAATAGGCCCTGAGTTCCCCAACATCTATCATTACAAGTAACTTAAAGCATTGTGTTCTATTTCTGTTTCTTAATGCACTACACTTTTGAAATACACTGTACCAAAATTTTAATAATACATGTATATCTTGCAGTCTTGACCCTAGAACCAATGAACTCCTTCAGCTTTTAGGCTCATGAATCTGTGATTGTGTAGCTCCAATTAAAAATGCAAATACAAATGGTGTTTTATTTTTGTCACTTAGTTGTAATATAAATGTTTTCTTTTATATCACTTAGTGCTAATATAAGTGACGTGTTTTCTTTTTTATTACGTTGTACTAATATAATGATGTGTTGTTTTTGTCACAGTGTGCTTATATGTGGTTTTTACTTCATGTTGCTAATTTAAATTATGTGTTGTTTTTCTATGTGTAGGCAGAATGAAAAAATAGAGGTTAGAATTGTATGAAATGTACTTACTATTTTGTTATCATTAATGGGAGAGACTTGATTTTTTAAAGCATGTGTACAAATATATACTAGTGTTGCTTCTAGGATGCGTACTTTGTGTATTAACACTATTTTGATTGCCACTGGCACAAAATAATTGTTTGCCTTCGTACTTGTTCACACACAAAAAAAGATAGAAGTACGCATTTAAATTTTTCATGTGCACCCGCCCTTCAAAATTTATTATGAAGGACTTCATAATGATAGATTGCGATCGTAACCGGAAAATTCCGATCAGTAATTCGCTCATTTGGATATGCAAAGGAATGTGAATGGCTGCGTTAGGATGTCATTTGGTTTTGTGGGAGGTTCCCTTGATATTATGGGATATTGATAATTGAAAATGGCAGAAGAAAGGAAATGTTCAAGAAAATGTTTAATTTTCAAAAAATTACTACATTTTCCTATCAAAACAATGCAAAAATTGAAATAAAAGAAAAAGGTGCAGAGAAGATGACTGCAATGTAAGTTTTGTCAATGAATGTGCAGATATTTTCAGTATGTGAACAAATGAAACAAATTGCAATGATTCAATTTACTGTTTCTTCAAATAAAACTTTCTTGATCATGTTATGTTTTTACGACTCACAAGATTGATACCTACTTCATTTCATGGATGGTCCATTTTCTGGAAGTCAGTGGGGGATTTAACCCACTTGAGAAAAATCTTAGAAGAAATGCTATATACATGTGTAACTTTCAAATTACTATTTTTTATCCTTTTTCAGAGTTTAAACCAGATTTTTGTATCTTAAAGCAATTTGGCTAATCAAATTTATAGCCAGACCATACATCAAAATTATATGAAACATAAGACTAATGGGAGTTTTTAAATTTATATTTTTTTTTTTCTTACAATTTTGTGATTATTATACATATACAAAAACTAATACTGTCTTATTGGTTTTTATTTATTTGCATTCACTAACACCATGAAATTCAATGTTTTTGTATTTTAACAGTACTTTTTTCCAAATAACCAAGTCAGTAGTTAGCTGTTATATAATATATATATATATATATATCACAAAAGCACTAAAATTTAAAATAATTATACTTTAGTATGGCTTCCTGGCAATAGTCACAATAAAACAGAGACCTGTTGCCACCAGCTTCTTGAACATATGGCTACTATTAATATTTATCTTGTTTATAGGTTTCTTAATGACAAATGCTTTTCTGTTAACATCATAACTGATTTTTGTTTTTTGCTTACAACACTAAGTTATTTGATTCATCTTTATCACTATCTCCTGCTTGGCATAAGAATAGTACTGTACTGTTCACAACATGTTACTATGCATCTTGTGATGATTGTACTTATGAAAGAATCTTTTAAATAACTTATACTATTAGTAATTTCGTGAACTTGATGTATTTTTCACTTGCAAAATGTATTGCATCTCTTGATTTTGAAGAATTTACAAGTGACAGCTTAACCACGTCTTTTTATATAATACCTGTCCACATGTATGATTCAAATTTGGCATAAAAGCTTGAGATGAGAATTTTCAGTGCTATAATACTGAAATATTTATTATGATGACTTGTTTTTAAAATTTTGCTCATAACTTGCATGAAGTATGGGATAAAATTTCTTTAACACCATTTTATTTATGCTTTGTCCTGAAATGAAAGACTCATTCCTTAAAATGTGACTTACAGAAGGTTTGGATAATGTGACTAAAATAAAATAAGATTATATAATGTGCTTTTCCCCTTCTTTTATATGCATTTTAATATCAAATTAATTGGACTTTTGTGTGTCATGCTGTAATATGTTTTTCATAAATGAGTATGCAACTTTTACATTTTCCTGTTTTTGATTACAGAGATTAATTTGTACCTTGCTTTTCTAATCATAGATTGTATAATCTGTAGGTTATGGAATGTTCTTGGGCTGAATTACAGCAAAAAGTCATGTGTGCAGAGGACTTGGATCAAGTTATTGCTGCACATGAGGAATTCTTAGATAGTATCATGACAAGAAGCTTACTGGATGAAGAATCTAAAGTTGGTAGTCACTATAGCTTCTCAGTGAAGTCATTAAATGTGCATTTTGTTATATATGGAAACAGTACTTTAACTTTTAAGATATGCTGTGATTTTGTTTACTATTCGGCTTTTGAAAATCAATTTGCTAATAAATTAAAACCATCCTGTCTTTCTTTTTCTTTTCCTCTTCTATTCTCATTACACACATACAAATATATAATAAGATGTTTACACATTTTATTGAAAAAAAGGTAACTGAACGATTGCTTCAGTCATGTTTTTTTTTTTATTGGCAGGATGTGTTGACCCAGTTGCGTGCCATTTATGATTTAATAATCAGGTACCAGAATATCCAAACTAAGTTCTGGCAACAAGCTCTCAGTGAGATAGAAGCTAGAAAAGCTCTAGAATCTCGAATAGATACAAAAACTGAGAAGGTAAGCTCACTGGTTATTGAGATCATTAAATAAACATTTTCTTCCAATGGTGGAAAATCTACCAAAATTATTAGAGATCTTACTGCAGCATAAGTAGTCAACTAATACTAAGTCTAAACTGAAATGTTAAAACAAAAGGGGGAAAACTAAATTTCATTTAAGCATAATATAATAGAAACTTGATGTATGTTTTATATATATATATATATATATATACACCTGGAAAAAAGTTAAGCACCCCCGTGTTTTTTTCAAGTGATTCA